GGAATCCTTTCAGCAACAGGGCTGAGGCCATGTATGTGCCATTCCAGGGTATTTTGATCCTTGAAAATCGTGCAGAAAGTAAATATGCTCCTAGAGGGAATTATTTTATCACCTGATGGTAAGAACATCTGAGGAGGTGCAGCTTTTGACCCTGGGAGAGTAACATAACAGTTTCCTCTTGTCTCTTGTGTAAGCTTTTACCATATCATTACTCCAGATTAACAAGGCAGTGAGATTCTGCCAGGGACAATAGCAAGGACTTCCTTTTGGGAGGGAGAACTGAGCATGCTGGTGCTAATTTTGCTGGAAGTAGTCTTGTCCTGTGGAGGAAATAGCACGGAGGAGAGATGAGGTTTGCGTCTATGATGTCCAAACTGGGGTAATGGAGTGGAGATATCCAGCAGCCTGTGCCCACACCTAGGGAGTTGCCCAGCTGAGCAAGAGAAATCTCTCCAAAGTTAGAGACTAAGCATGAGAGTCTGCTTTAAGTCAAAAATACAAGTCACAGAGGTGCAGTTCTGTTTGCTGTACCCTTGTCCAAAGTCTGGAGACGTGGTGAAGAATATGCCATAAAACTTGGAAGTAACCAGCAGAGTGTGCTGCTGAGTTGGCTTGGCCTGTATCTTGCAGCCTTTGTCTGGGGCAGATCCCTCACTGCATGAGCTGTTTGGGAAAAGCCTGTGGAAAACAGCTGTACTCATACTCAAGAGCCTGATAAGTGTTTGAGGTCACTTGGTGACCAAAGCCTGTTTTGGCTCTGAGTGAGTGAAATTAGAGGGTACAGAGAACAGACCTTGGAACAGGATGAGCACAATACTGCAGATAAATTTTAGTTTTAAGAGACTTGTCACTTAACCCTCAATGGAACTGTTGTCAGAAGGTAGAAACGTGAGTTGCCTCCTGTCAAGTATATTTACAGTACTAAAGTTGTCTGTAATGCTTTCTTCATTGGTTGTTAGATTGGTAGTTCAATAAATGTTACCAAACACTCCAATTTCCAAAGCTTTGCAAGTTAAATGAGCAGCCAAAGGTAGCTTAAGGTAGACTAGACTAATCCTTATGAGCAGCCTGCAGACTCAACTGTCTTGTGTTTACTTTTGGTGTGTAAGGCTCTAGGAAGGTATAAAGTCAGGTTTCTGCTGGACTTATTCTTATGCTTTGTCTTTATCTTGCCCCTGAAATAGCACAGAAAATGCCTGTTCTGTTTTATATTATTGTAATTGCAGGAGAGAACCGTAGCAGATAGGCATGTTTGTATTAAAAGAAAATGGGACTCAAATGCCCATCTGACTGGGTGAAGTGACCTGCTTAGTGCCATTATTGCCTGTCTAGGCTACTGGGAGGTAGAGGCTGGCAAAGAGTTTGTTCCTTTTCTAGCTGCCTGGGATGCAACAACTTTTACAGATGGTTCAGGGATTAAATAGATGTTTTGTCTTTTCTTGTAGTCAGTTACCTTCAAAACTACCAGCAGGAACCTTGCTAGAGCCATGTGTATGAAGAACCTCAAGCTTACCATCATAATCATCATTGTATCAATTGTAAGTATGGACTATGATAATATATGTCTTAAAACATGTCTTGTTTTGTAGCTTCAGAAGTAGCTTTTTCATGATGGTGTGCCTCCAACCTGGAATAAATGTGAATGGCAAAATCATCTTAGGGTACTGAAGCGCAATTGTCGGCTAGGTGTGTGTATAAAATATTTGGCAGCACTGGGCCCTCCTGTTTTGCTGGAGGTCAGTTCTTATCCCTGTATTCTTGCAGGGAGGTGGAGGAAGAGGCACTGGTATGCTGTGTGGTAGGGCATCCAGTACGCTACTGGTGTTGGTAGCTTGGGGTTTCCAAACCTGTCTCAATTGCCAGATTAAATGAGCAGTTGACTGAATAATAGAAGTATAATTCCCTACTAAAGTGTTTTCTTTCTCCAGGTAATCATCTATATTATTGTATCAGCTGCCTGTGGTGGGCTTGCATGGCCAAGCTGTGTACAGAAGTAATTGGAGGTGACTGGTGCTGGTCAGTTGAAGATAAAAATCACAGGAGTGTGAAGAATCAACCTACGGAATAACTCTTAATCTTTCACTACTGACACCTTCTCATTCTTCCATCCCTCCTGGACTTCAGACTTTTTTTGCCTTACCAACCCAAACAGGCCCAACAGTCCCTGCTTCTGTGCAGCTGTAACCTCAAGAATGGGCTGTTTTAAATTACTTGAAGGATTTTTTTGTTCTTCTGTCCCAACTACAACCTTCTCAGCTGGGTTGGGGAGTACAGCCAGCTCTGAAGTGTGTGCATGCTTGCCCATATGTACATGCAGCTTTGCACTTCATGTGAATGTATTAAGTGGACAACAGTATTGCTAGCAGCTGTCTTACCCCTGAGGATGGCCTTGGAAAGTAATTCAGGGTGGGATGAGCCAAACAAGGGGAAGGGATGAGATGTGAGTTGAGTGGGTTTCTGTCTCTTACAAATAAGAGACCCAAGTGTCTCTGCACACCTGGCTGTGCATGGAAGCACGTGGCCCTTCTGGAGCATTCGAGAGCTCAAAGGTGCTAGTGCAGTATTGGCCATAACAAAGAGGCTTGGGGTAGAGGCTTATGCATGGTAAGATGTAAGTACTTCTTCTGTAAGAAGTGTCTCTTCTGGAGATCTTCCTGGAGTTAGCAGGAAAGGGTATTGGATCACCTCAACACTTTGAAATAGCTTCCTTCATCCTCACTGCCCCTCTCCCCCCCCCGCCCTTAATTTGTAGCTAAATCCTTACAGTAAAGGAGATGGCTGCATATGGCTAAGGCTGCAATAATGCATCTGCTCTGTCACATGTCATTTTTCTTTATTTTGAGGCTGGACTAAAATTAATACTAATTTTATCACTTGGGGTGAACCTGGGAGCCAGTCTATAGATTGGGCTTGATAAAGTGTCAGGTATCTCCTACTTGTGCTTCTGTGCTGAAGGTTTGTGCTAAAAACTCAGAGAAGGGACAGCACCTTGGAGTTGAAGCAGTTACTTTATCTGTTGGTCTGAAGAGGAAAGGCTTTTTCTGAGGACCTAGTAGCTGGTACATTTATTTAAAAAAAAAAAAAAAAAAAAAAAAAAACCTCCAAGGCTAATAACCAAATGCAAGATTATCACCCTTGATGATATGCTGCTATTGGAATATAGGGCAAAAATGTTGATATGATCTGGCTGATGTTAGCAGCTGGTTGGGAACAGCTGGGGGAAGGAGAGCTACACAACAAAGTGGGGCAGCTCAGGGGCTTGAAGTCCTGGCTGACAGGATCAGAAGCTCTTGTTGCCTGGTGGAGAGTGAGTGGCTTTCAGACTTCAGCCTTACGTCTTACAGGCTCATCTTCAAGAGGAGAAATTGAAACAACTGAAATCTAATAAAAGCATCTGATGGTTTAATAGGGAGCTGCATCTTTTTGCCCCAGAGAATTGCTTACTTCTAATGGTGGGAAGCAGCTGTGCAGGAAGGGAGGCTTAATTCAGTGGCTAAACACTTGCACTTGGTTGGTACTGTGTAATCTTACTTTAAGGGTTTATACTTCTTGGTTCCTTTCGTTTGTGGGTTCTCTGAGCTATGGGGCATGGTCTTGCAGGGCAGTGAAATTGAACTGCTGCTCTTCCCCCTCCTTCTCTTGGTGTGTGCTAAAAGCAGCAGCTGGGTTAGGAGTTCTCATGCTAAATTGTTTGTGTTTGTCTCCTACTAGGCTAAAATTTGAAGACTAGTCAGATACTGATATCCAGAAAAGTGTTGGTGACTTTTAGATCAGCATTGTGGTTCTTGCATCTTTCTACTTGTAGTCCCATGTACAGCTCAAAGATTTTAGTCTTCTTGAAATAACTCATCTGGAAAAGGATGTGGAAAAGAACCTTCCTCTCTCCCTGTTTGTTTGTACAGCCACCCACAGCTCTGTGTACAATTGTGGCTGTGGTCATTTCTATGATTTGTCTGATGTACAATACCTTTTTAAAGAAAAGACTTCCTTTCCTTTTAAAAGATGCACTGAGGCATTAGTGTATGACAGTTAACCTGACTTAAATAAAGTTCTTCTAGAGTAAGCAGCTTTCCTTAGTTTTGTGAAAGCTTGTCTTGCACTAGGTGGAGCCAGCTGTGATAGTAACTCCTCTGGGTAGAGTTCCAAAGCAGACTTCTTGAGGGCTTGGGACTCTTAACACAGAATCAAGCTTGGCATCACCAGCAAGTCTTCTGGAGAAATCACCTTTCTGCTCTGAAATAGCATTACCACATATTTATCAGCAATGAAAGGATGTGGGGGGTCTGTTTTTTGGAGGCTTGATGCAGATGCTAGTCTGGATGACTTCCTTGAGAAGGGAAAGATCTTCTCCCCTTTCTCAGTTCATAGCATCTGTGAGTGCCTTGTATAGAGGGGGGCTGAGTCCATATGAGCACAGTTGCCTCCTTGCCCAGAGCACCTGGGGCAGGGGTGGAAGGAATACAGAAGAACACAAGTGATGGCACCTGCCTGCTGCTCAGTACAGGTGAATAGGCCCCTAGGAACCTGCATGGAGGCAGAGTTGCTAGTACTGGAAGCCAAATGAACATCTGTGAACACTTGGAAGGAAACTTTTGGTGGCATTAGGGACCTCCATCCCTAGTATGGATTACCCTTGTTTTTCCTTATCCTTCTGAGTCTTAGTGAACTTAGAAAAAACCCTTTCTGCAGGTGTCTGCCACACAATGCCACAGTGACTATGGCACCATCTTGCACTAGTCTCTGGATAAGCTCTGCAGCCTTTCACCTACCTCAGGAATGTTAAATGCTTGTGTAGTATAAGGTGTTAGGAGTAGGCTCATGCATCAGTATGAGGGAGTTGGATTTCCTCTTAAACTTGCAGAAACTGTTCAAGTTCAATTGATTGTTATCTTGGATCTAGGTAAAGAAAACAAGCATTGTAATGGCATATCTTTTAGGGTTTAAGCTGACAGAGAGGATAAAAATGGCTTAGAGAATGAAAGGATCTGTAATTTAACATCCTGTTAGGCAGGGGGTTGTTTTGGCTTTATAGTTCTGATCTGTGGACCAAAAGCCAAAGGACTGTCTCCCTTCTAAAAAGGGGTAACCACCTTCCATGCACTTGGATTTTTATTTTTACAGAACAGGATACCAACCATCAATTCAAGCAGAAGCTAATTTTGGATTAAAGCCCTGGTCAAGCTTCTTGTGTACTTTGAGCCTGTGGTCCATCTGAAAACCTGTATAACTGTCTGCATCTTTGTACATATCCCTCCTGCAATTCTTTCTAGAATAACTATCATGTTTCAGCTTTCAATAGTTTGAGATTATATTCTAGTTAAACATCTTGCATCACTGGAAAGTTTTGTTCTTTACCTACCCCTTTATCTTCCCTTAAAGTAAATAAATAGCATCTGTCTGGACTTTTGGAGGCTGCAGAAGAGGGCCCTTAAAGTGCAGGCCTGCTCCAGCTCTCAGCTTACTGACCAAAATAAAGACAAAAGATGATTTCTTAAACAACTGCACAGAGGTGTCACTAGTCATTTATCTTTATGCAGGGGGGAGGTAAGGGTGAGCGCAGCAGCTTTTCCACGCTAGTCATTTATCTTTATGCAGGGGGGAAGGTAAGGGTGAGCACAGGGTGACTAAGCAGCAGCTTTTCCACCAGGGAGAAGTTTGAGAATGGAACAAATCCCCTACTGTATCCACAAGGGAAAAGCCTTAAGAGGGCAGGGATGTAAACATGCCACACTTTAGCAGGGGGTAGGAGGAAGCTTATTTGCTACTATGGTGGTCTCCCTTTATCTCCCCTCACTAAATCCAGAAGTGTTTATTCAGCCTCTGACTACTGTTTCAGGTACCTACTTTATTTTTTTATTTAAATATAACAGTGCTCATAAGAGTGTTTCTTGTTCTTTCATAATGAGACTTAAAAGCAGATTTTTGCATTTCTGCATTATACACTGGGCTATACCCTTAAATCTGGCAAAAGGAACTATTTCACCCTCAGGAAGAGTGGCATACAGCTATTTCCTAGGAAATTAATGGTAAAGCACTACTTAGAGTAAGTAGAACATGAGAATGGTCCTGCTTGAGGAAAGAGGGGAAAGAGCAAGGGTTTCTTATTTGCTTAACTAAATGCATCTCATCAGGTAACAAACCCAACCTTGGGCTCAAAGCACTCAGCAACTGCTAAAGCCTACGAGTGTACAAATACTATTTTTTATCCCCTTGTAGAGAACAAAAAGCATGAGACACCTCACATGAACTCCTACTCTAAGAGCCAGCAGCAAATGTTGTTTCCCATCTCTTCAGTGTTAGTTTGGTGTAGTGGTTGCCCTCTAGGGAGTTCGAGTGCTGTAAGTTGCATCTTCCTTTGAATTTTTCAGTTTCTGGTTGTTGGTAACTATGAAATCAAGCTTGAAAATTAAATATTAATGCCTGTATCATCCAGGTTGGAGCTTTGTGTAGCTGAACAGGCCTCCAAAGGAAATCCTCTGAAGCTGAAGTATGGAAGTAAAGGGTTATGGCTATCACAAAAGGCCTCATTCACAAAAAAACACCCTCAGGCCCACTGTTTGTAAGGCAGCTCTATTTCAGCACCATAACATTTTATTAAACTATACTATCAATCACATTGATGGCAGGGAAAACATTGCTATTAGTGCATATTTTGTGTACTCAGACTGTATTAATGGCCCTCCAGCCCTTGCTGAGGAGGAGGAGGACATCATTTAAACAGAAACCTTCATATCCAAAGAGACAGTAGAAAACTTCTCTACAAAACCAAGGGCAATCAGACAAGAATGAGTTGAAAGAGCTCAAAGGGAAATGTCTCAAGAGGAATTAGTCAGAAATTAAAACAAATAAAAATAAAATTAAAAAAAGAAAAGCCAACATACCTTGATCAGGAACCAGTCATCAGGAAGCTTGGTAGCTTCCCCATAAGACATGAAGGTGCTGATGAACAGCAGTTTTTAAATAGCATCCACCTGTCCCTGCAACTGCCTGTTCACAAACCCACACAAATATTGTGTACTGCTCCTTCACTTGTGAACCGACTACTGTGATGCACACACTTGAATACAACACCTTGAAGTGTACTACAGTTATAAAAACCAGCTTCATTTTCTAGGACAAACACTAAAAAAGTAGCAGAAATACAGTCTATACAGAAGTAAAAAAAAAAAAAAAAAAGTTTCAGACAAACATCAGCTTACACCAGGTTGAATTTAAAAAGTCTTACTTCTAACACCTATACAGCTATCTCTAGTCTCCCCCACCCCTTGCTATGCAATAGGCCATAGCAACAGGTCAAAGCCACTTGCTGGCAGGAACAAGCCAGCCAGGAGCCATTTCACACAAGCCATCCTCATGAGTGGGTGTCTGCTGCCAGGCCTTCCACAGGGCGGCAAGTTAGAGGCTCATAAGAAATAAGGCTAGTTTCAGTCTTCCTGTGAAGACCCTCATGCTTCAGCAAAGTTTTGATCAGTAGGAAGAGAGTAGGTGCCTGTTCCACCAGTGAAGAGGCCAAGCTCTTGCCAAAAATAAGTTTGTGTTCAAGAGGCGAAGAACTATACAAGTCAGTCCCCAAGGTGATGGGTCTGGTGAGAAGAGGTTTGTTTTAAAATAATGTTCTCATGCCCAGCCAGCTGGGGCTCTGCATCACACAGGTGTTGGGCAGGGCAGCTCTTTGGGTTGTGTCAGTAACACCCCTCCTTCCAGGAATCGTCAGCTGCTGTCTGACTGGTCTTGGCTGATTGAAGAAATCTGTTTTGAGAGACAGAAGTCACTGAGCACTACAAGAAGCAAAGTTCTCCAGAGTCTATTGCTATCGATACACAGGACTGCTTGCTTAAGGTTTCAGTTTACATCAGGCTTCTACAATATCACTCTTACTTCAATGTCAACATCTGCCTTAGGTGAACTGCTGTACTGTCATCTACAGCCCATGCGCCAGGCAGCCACCAGACACAGCTGCAGCAATTTCAGGAAACACAGAAATTAAGTAAGTGCAGCAGTGACAGGTCATCCTGCTCTGTTAGCACTATTGTCAGGGGGTTTCCCATGAATAGGTCTGGAGGAATTTTCCTGCAAGTGCCACTAAAAGCAGTACAAAAATAATCAGGTAATTGTAGAATACTACTAGACATCAAGAGTTTAAAAAAAATCTCAGAGTATTTAACATGCAGATGCTTCAATCTTAGTCTGCAAATGAATAATAATTTAAAAAAGAGTATAAATAATAATTTTTAAAGTACAGTATGGCTTAATCAATTGATACAGCATCAACTTAGAAACTTAATCTTAGTCTGCAAATGAATAATAATTAAAAAAAAGAGTATAAATAATAATTTTTTAAAGTACAGTATGGCTTAATTGATTGATACAGCATCAACTTAGAAACTTTCCTCAACTCAAAAGTTTACACTGAAATTGCATTGAAAAGAGCTTGAGAAAAAAAAAAGTTTCATAGAGGCTATTTTCCAAAAAAATGGCAGCACTGACCTATGCTAAATTACCTCCTACAACTCCATCAGCTAAGACTGGGATCTGAGAGCAAAGCTACATTTTTTATCTATAATAATATACATAACTGATTCAACTGAATATTTACTACACATTTTAAAAATCAACCCAAGATGACCATGACTTTATGAAAAATATTTCTAATCCATTGAAATAAGTGCTCAAGTCCACAATGCTTCGTCTCACACGTACCTCTTGGATGGTGGTGCCAGTTTACTCTTGGGCACTGAAGTTCCTCCCACAGACGTTCGTGCTTTAACGGGTGAATTTTTAGCTACAGTGACCATGCTGCTGCCTCTAGTAGCAGAGCTGCTACTGGAAGAGCCCGCGCTGAGCGAAGACGTCTGCGGTTTTCGCACTCCACTGACAGGATTTGTGTAACCACAGGCTTTTACAGGCTGCCTAGGTGTTAAGAGGGAGCTAGTGCATGTCCCCGCTTTCATCGATTGTCGCACCGTTAAGGGAGTCTGCCCAGTGCTGGAGGAATACCTGAGCTTGCTGGGAGCCAGACCTAGAAACAGAAGGACAAAGAAAGCATAACTCACTTGACAATGCTATTTTAAGAACATTTTTTGGATACTGAGCCTTTCCAGGGCCATGGTTTTGGTCACGGAGGTTAAACAGACCAAAGGGAATCGATAGCAACAGCCCCCACGAGAACAGGTTTTACTGACTTGTTGATGGTTGCTGGATTCTTGAAAGTCGACTGCTTGGCACCTGCAGATCCGATTCCAAGCTCCGACTGCTCCGTACGGACTCCAAAGCCCGGAGGCTCGTTCTAGCCAGGTTGGGCATACTGTGCCGCATCTCCTCTGAAATCAAAAGAAAATTCTCTATTTGCTGCTTCTGGAGCAGTCAAGATGTGTTACAGTTCAGGCTATCCCTGGACAAACATGAGCACTTTCAAGCGCAGAGGTGCATGGGTAACTTCTAAAGTGGCTTTTATTAAATAATGTCTTTGAAACACGTGGTTCAAATTATTTTTATTATCACATGGAAAGCTCCAAGGTCAGCTCACCTTCACTGTTTGCATACTTCAGGCGGTCTTGCATTGTGCCTTGCACGGATCTCCTCGGGGGGCGGATACGAGAGGTAGATGCCCTACTATAATCTGCACCAGAAGAAGGGGACTGACATCGGGGTGAACTGAGTGGAGACGGGGAGTATCTGTGAGCGCTGCGGTACGACAGGGAACAGTCGTAATCGTCCTCATCCTCCAGGCTGTACGTATCAAACTCCTGATCGCTGTAGGTCCCTCTTCGCAGGGAGTGGAGGGAGGCACTGGAGCTGCGGCGTGACACAGAGGCAGAGCTAGAGGCACAGTCCTGACGCAGACCTGAAGATACAGAGCAACATTGATTTTTATTTGATATTAAAGTGTTAAATAAATTTATTTACCCAGTTTCTACATGAGAAGCAATCAATACTGTTAGCAGATATTCATCTTGGAAGAAAAATCAAGCTAACAGACCCATCTTTAGGTCTATTAGGTCTCAAGACACAGGATACAGTGCATGTATCTCTAAACTAGAACAGCATCATCCCTATAGGTTCTGATTAATTAAAACAGAGAGTTAATATTCAGCTTGACCCAAATTACTCTTGATGTTACACAGTCTACAATAGCTGCTTGTCTATTTTGCCAAAAGCTGTGTTAGGTTATTTCAACAGATAGAATTTTTATTTCAAACTGCTGCCATGAAGTGAAAACACAGCTAGCTTTTTAAACGGTGTTTATGATATATCCGCCTGGTTTATTTACAGCTGAGAACCCAAATTATGCCTTAAAGTCCTCTAGCCAACAAAATACAAGGGGCCTCTTACTAATAATTAGCACACTGTTGTGTTTAGCACATTGGTTGAATGGGCTTTTGAGAAAGGTGTCAGTTCTGGAAAAAACACTTCTCAATGAATTCCTTTCATTGCAGGGATAAATAAAACAAACCTCTCCTCCCTTCCTGATACAAATATGAAAAGTTTTCATCATGCTGAAGATGATGCAATCTCTGCAATCTCTTCATACTTCACAGGAAACTTTGTGATGTGACAGAGTTCCTTGACATACTCTCTGAAGTACTTACAAAGCAAAAGGTATACAAATTTACAAAGAGGAAAAGCTGCTCTTATTTATTTGCTGTAATAAAACTTTTATTCCATTACACTTGAGTGTAATTGAATAAAAAACCCCAAGATCTTGTGTCTTTTGCTCTTTTTGGTCTTCTGTTTCTATTGTAATATCATCATATTTTGAAACTGTACAAAAGCACAGTATTAAGTGGAAATACAAGTCTTCCAAACAAAGAATGAACTTCATTCTCTATTTCCACTAAATCACATTAATCATTACAGAGACTAGCAGATCCAACTACTTTACTCCACCTTGTGATGTGATTTAGGTAAGGTCCTAACCAAAGTCCACAAAAAGCTTACAAATGATTTAATGGGAACTGGATCAGGTCCCTAAAATACACACACACAGAAGCAAACAGACATGTTTTAGGATGAGTTAAATTGGCAGAGCTGTCTCTGAGCACTTAACCTCAGATAAGCTTAAGCTACATTTCCAAATCTTACAAGATTTTTCAGCACTCCAAAAAGCTCTTGGCACTCAAAACAACTGGCTGCTTCTGCATAGTTTTTAAAACTCGCTTCTCTAGTTGGTTTCTACTACAATTTCAGCCTGTCATGAGGCATAAAGGTTATCAAATTCTCACCCTGGCCATTTGTGGTATGACAAGCAGTCATGCAGTGACCAGGAGGTGGAAGAAAAATAGAGTCTGCTTCAAAAAACGAAAACCTACACCCCAAAACAATTTGTGAGGTTATTTTTTCACCTGGATCTGTTCCCCATACTGATGCACCCTGCAGTCATGCAGCTGCTCACATGGGCTCAAGCAAGGGGACAACCTGCCTGGTGGCTGTGAGCAGCTGTTGTTTAAGGTGTCACTCCTACGAAACATTTATTCATGAAACTTCACCCCTACTTCAGCATATCTATTTTGGAGAATAATTATTTTTGAAGGCCAAACGACAGTTATTTTCTGCTTAAAGAAAGGTACATCCAGAGCGTTGCACAACTCAAGTGCCAATTTGAGTCTTTAGATTTTTAAAGGAAGCTCTTACAAAAAGTCAATCATTTCAAATGATTTATTAAGTGCTTTTGGTGTTGGGGGAGCAAAGGACAGCAGGTGGAATCCATCTACATGTCTAGAAGTGCAATACAGAGGAAACTGCTGTCACATACTTTCTTCCTGAAGGCGTGCCATAACCTGGACATCCGTCAAGTCCTGCAGTTTATATCCCATCGAGATGGAGTCATCGGATGTACTCAGCTCACTGTCCACTGACGACTGAGAGCTCAGGGCAGAATGCATGCTCAGGTAACCTTGAGGAAGGGAGGGGAAAGGACAGAAAAAGTACTTAGACATCCACATACAAACCAAGAGCAAGCAGCAGAATATTTTCTCCAGTAATAAAAATCAGTGCAGGTGTGAGGTTCAGTGTTCAGATGCAGTTGCTAGAAATAGGAAGTTAGCAATGCTTTAAAAAAGTGTTTTTTTTGAAGGCGATACACTTACTGAATAATTCTGAACAAGGTTTCTCCAAACGGCCATGGAAATAAAAATACTGACTGCCCTAAACAAAGCATTTAAAAACCACTGCTGAACACCACTTCCAGCTTGTGGTTAGTTTTCCAGCAGGGTGGCTTTAGATGCCTCATCTGAAAAGGCACAAACTTTTTCCAGTTTCAAGATGCTTTGGGGTGGTGCTTTGTGTGGCCAGTAGTGCAGTGTGGTGCAAGGGAGGTGTACGTGTGTGCATTTTACACAAATACACATGAGCTCCAGATCAAGACACTGCAGTCTCAAGATGGAACTATACAGTATAACACAACCCTGTTAGTTTTACATCACATGTCTTTTCTCAACACCATAAGAAAGCAAACATGTTGGTAGGGATAGTACCAGGAGGAAGTGGTATAATAAATAACCTATGAAACATGCCCCCGACCAAAAGGTCAGGGCTAAAGTGCACTGAACTGAGCCACAGCCAGCAATAAAATGCACACGACAACTCTGCTCTGGGAAAAGGACAACATATTTATCTTGTATTAGTTGCTGGTCCCAGTGATCTTATCTTCATCATGCTTCTCTTTTTGGTAACTCCAGAAAAGTTTTCAGCTTATTCTTAAGCCACAAGTGATCAGGGGGACACTCAACCAAATCTTGACTCCTGATCTGTGCTGGTCTTGCTCTGTTGTGACACCTCTGCTGCAGCCTCTCAAGAGGCTCTCAGGATGTAGCAACACAGGCCTTATGGTACAGATACACATTACCCACTTGACTTACTGTATGTGTATAGCTTAAGTTTAGACTTTTACTCATGTTTCTTTTGAACTTTTTGCAGAAGTACAAGCATGGAAAATAGTCTCCATAAAAGAGAAAATGGCATTAGATAATTTTCTGGTGTCTTCCTATTAACTATATATAGTTTAAGAAAAACAATACAAAAAAAACCCACCACACCCACCCACACCACTCAATGACTGAATTTGAAATTACTCATTAGATGACAGAACATTAGGCTGGGTCAAAAATATTAGAGGCTAAAACACCAAGTGGGGGAAATCCTGACCCATTCTCATACTGTAACAACAGTTTGAGTTGAGAGCATTACAGCTACAGCAGACTTTCCATGCATGAGCAGTTCTAGAAGTTGCACAGATGCCTCAGGTTTGCACATCAGTGAAAGAGTTTGGTATGAAAATCAGGTCATTATAGATCTAGTTTCAAATCTTGAACAAAAAGACATAAACACGAGCTCATAAAAGAAAACATAAACAAAAACCTGAACAGACAAAGAAAGTATTTTAAGGAGATTATTTAGAGATTTTTTTTCCCCCCCGAAGAATTCAGCTTGCCAAAATTCAGTTTACATTCATCTCTCTTTCAGTAAAGACATAAGCATTCATTCATATCTATGTTTAAAAAAAAAAAAAACAAAACAAAAAAGAACTATACAGAAGGATCCAGAAGGACCTGCAGCACAATTTTTTTAAGATTAATTTAACATCAAGTCTCAAGCCTGCAACTGTTAAAACATGCTTTATGCTTTTAAACATGCAAATTACAATATAGCAATTTCCGCAATTTCCACAAAAACTAAACCAAAGATGCCTCATGTGATAAGCCAAGGGGCAAAGCATTTCTAATAATAAAAGAAAAAACGAATAGTAATTGCATCACGGATAAATGATGCTATTGAAATAGCCCCTTAGGCAGCCACTTAAAAGCAGAGACAGACCTGAGGCCAAAACATTTCAGAGGTTTCACTGTTTCATCTACAAACACATAAAAAATTCCTGTTAGAAGTCGAAGTTGCTTCTCAGTTAAGAGCACTGACTCCAAATACAGTAAAGTCTGATGAAAAGTTTTTGCCACATCATGCTCGGTTTCTCATGCAGACAATTCAAAGACATGATCTGGAAACTAAACCTTTGTCTTAAAACACAAGGCTTCTTTTCTTCTCTAGGATTATATTAAAAAAAAATTCAAGCTCTAGAGACAAAAAAAAAGTAACTTCATACAGTTAATTTTCACGTATGATAACATTATTCAAAGAGCAATGTTTTAATGTTTTCCTGTTTTGGCCCCATCATTTGTTTTGTATTCAATGTCACATAAAATTAGTACAATTAAAAAAAAATATACAGAGACACAGTGTTACAAAAACAGTAAGTACACTTACAATATTTAGAATGCAAGGAGATATTCTCCCAGGTAACATATCAATCTGAGGTCTTAACTGGGCATATTAAAAGGAGAAAAGCCCATGGGTGACGTTTCTCTCTCGACTTTTCCATATGTCTTACATGAAATGCCCCATTATTAATCCTCCTTGCATTTTAAATACTGGAGAGATTTGCACTGCTCTACTGACATGCCATACCTGAGCTGCCACAGGTTAGTAGTGCTTTGTTAGTCGATTTGAGATGCCCAGGAGAGTTTAGTGCATTGCTACAGGAGCCTGTCTCTGTGTTCAAATTATGTGCACTTGGTGATGCCAGGGGACTGCAATACAGGTTTTTCCATCTACTGGCTAGAAGGAAAAAATACAAGAAAGCCATGGAGGTTAACAGATCACTTCGAAAAAACAAAGAGCACAGGAATAAAGAAAGGCATCAGGTCAAACAAGATTAACTATATAATTGGTGAACTTTGAATGAGACTTCTGGATGGTAGCAGTTATGAGACTTATGAATAAGTTTTAACAAACTCAGCTTTT